GCCGCCGAGATGCAAAATGACGTCTATGTTGAAGAACAGGGAACCGTCATTGGGGTCCAAAACAGTAAACAGCAATCTCAATACCTGTTTCAAGGTACAAACTACAAGTAAACAATTGAAGAAACGACTCTTCGATAGACGGTCCCATAGAAAGGCAACGTACATTCCAGCGACGATAGCTATTAGGTTGGAACTGTACTCTCCGCGTAGAGATTTGTTACTAGGAAACGTGAAAGACAGTAGTAGACGCTAAAATGCGGTGGCAGACGTCATATTCACTGAACAGAGCGGATATCGCGATATTTTACCACAACACTCAGATGAACTGATTGAACGAAAAGGCCTGCGTCCAGTCGTAGCTCATCATCTCGCTCGAGTCGAACGAGAACCAGTCCGCAGTGAGCTCATCGCTTAGGAAATCCACCGGGAGCGGTTCGCCAAACTCGTTGCTGCTGAATTCTATGTCCGTACAAAAGGCGGTTGCGAGGTCTGCAGGATTTGAAAGCAAATCGAAGCCAGTCGGTGATGGATCAGTTGGATTCGATAGATTCGGAGTCGTTGATGAAGTGGCATTGCTCGATGAGCGTGGAAACGTGTTTCGTATGCCAGCGCAATTGACCTTGACCTGGCCAAAGTACGGAATGGTCATAGTGAGATCTTCTTTTCCGGCGTAGGCGCCTCTGGATGTTGCTAGTAGAATGTCAAGGGCGTCGGCGCCTTGCTTTGCGACGATGCAATCAAGTCGTACAGCTGTCTGGCGCAGGTCCTGGGATGTCATGTCCAAGAGATCCCAGTCAGACTTAAATGTCCGATCGTTAGGTGTTTGGCGTGCGAGAACGCCAATCAGCAACACAATCGCAGAACTGAATCCGTGAAATTCCATTGCCTCGCACATAATGTCCGGCCCAAGCTGCCGTGAGTGGTGGTTTAACAGAATCATTCCTCGTGCTGCGTCCATTGCTCGATCAAAGCTATGCTGGTACTTGGACTCCTTGATCGATTTGAGCATATAGGGCATATGAAGTGTCTTTTGCAGATACCAATAGCGGAACTTTGCGTACATGGAATAGTAGATGACGGCAAAGTCCTGCTCAGGATCTTCGGGCTCCCAAAACCCGGGCGGCATGCTGTCCGTCAGCTTTTCGAGGTCTTCGTCAATCCGAAGTGTCCTCGCAAAGTTTGACGAGCTATGTATTTGGTCTCGCTCAATGATCTTGCCTGCAATGATACTGATCTTGTATGAAGCCGTCTCCAGCGGGGTCGTATTCGGGACTTCGTCGGGCGTCGTCCCGGGGTGCGTATCTGACGTACAAGATGGCAACCCTAGTATGCAAGACAGCTGACGTTCAGTTTGCCAAAACATTGGCCAAAGGATCTTCCTTCGTTTGTCGTTGTGATTGCTTGTTTTATGAAGGCCCAGTTGCATGGCTGAGGTGATGGCTTGACGCAAGATCTGCCATGCTTTTCTCGGCTTGCCCATGTCGAAGAGCATCTTCCATAACAGACCGTAGCATTCCAACTCGTCCATGCTGTGTCCAAAGACATCGACAGAGTTGATTGCCATCTCAGAGTAGCTGAGATACTCGTCGATGAGCTCTCGCGCCGGCTTGGGCAAGTTCATATCCCGCTGAATGCGAGGCCGCGGAAACTGGAAGACACAGAACGCAAGCCACAAGAGCGCTTTTGCTACCAAGATGGGGTTGTTGGAGTATATAGCTTCAATGATGGCCGTTTTGGTTTCATGTATTTGGCCACTGGTGAGTTGCCTGGGCGTTTTACCCAAGGTGCACGGAGGCCAGACAACCCAGTACTGTTCTAACTCCTGAAAGAGCGTGTTCAAATCGGACGAGTTTGGGATCGGCGGTACTTGTAAAGCCAAGAGCATCTTCGGACTCTTGGACCCGATTGACTGGCTAGCGTTGGACGTGACCCGTGGGGGCACAGATTGTATGTGGGGGGTGGTTTGCCATAGCGCTGGCAATGGTGCATCTAAATGGACCTGACTATTGTCGTTCAAGTCGTCATCAGAGTCGTCGTATTCGTCAGGGAATTGAGTAGTATCCTGCTGGACGTCGAAATCTCCCCGAAGGTCGCCCATCATTCGCTCCAGGTGAGCCAACCGCTGACGAAGAGCCTCATTCTCTTGGCCGCCAGCACCTGCTTCTGATGCAGAGTAGATGGAAGCAGGCTTGTTCGGACGAGCTCGCGGCTGCTGGGGTACGCAAGGAATACTATGAAGCACGCAGCCGGTGCACGCTCCCCCTTCTTGGGGAACCTCGCAGCGCACCTTTCGGCGGCGGCATTCTGCGCAGCTCTTTGTACCCAATCGCATTCGTTTAGGCGGAGCGTCCTCTACGGGAAAGGTTGACATCATCTTGAAGCTAAGAGCTACCCTACCGCTAGCCACAAGCAGCTATCGAGAATGGGCGAGACGGAGGCGTGGTGTAATGTGGCCACGATGCAGTCAACGTTGGGAGATGAGAAGCCTAGCGACGTCCACTCTCCGACTCAAAGGTTCACGGCGAGCAAAAGACACCAAGAATACGACAAGGGATGCAGAGAAGGGTAAACCAAGCTGTGTTATCGGATAGTAGGTCTGTGGTGGATGACTGTTCACAAGCGCGCAGCCGCAGACACGTGCCGGACGAGCTCGGAGACTTCCCAAAGCGGGGTCGCTCCTTCTGTGCAGTCAGCACGCATCAACAACAACAACTTCAGCCCGGGTGAAAAAATTCGTAAATTTGGACTGCTCTTGAATCTGCGTCAAGGGTCTCGCATTGGCATAGGTATATCACCGCTTCAACGCGTTGCTATTCCGTTAGACGTATTGCCATTCCACTTTCGTTCTCCGCTATTGCCAATACCTGGATTCATTGTGATCGGGCTGACGGAGAGCCCTGTGTCCTCGCGAATAGTTGGATTTTAAATATCGGGTGAGAGCGCGATGGAGCCTTCCTTTTGTTCTCGTGGACCCATCCAGCGGCCTCGTCACAAGATCTTCCAACACATCCAATCCATTTTCCGCCTCTGTCGCCCCCACCATCGGCGCCGTCCTCAGGAGACCGGAGAAGGCTTAAAGAATGGCAGTCCCATTGATATGCGAACTCACACCCCCAGGACAATTCGCCGGCGCCGACGAAAAGAAAAAGAACCACCTCCCCCTCTCCCTACACTTTGCCGCCAAACGCTCTAAATCCATCATCTCGCCCAACGGCATACCCCAAAGCGCCAAAATATACTCGTGCAAATGGTACTCTGCACCCTGTCAGCTTGTCCCCACCAATACCACCCTCGCACCCTCGCCTCACTCACTCTCACGCGTAGGCCACGCCTCAAAAGCCGGCGCATCCCCCCCCACCGCCGCAAAATAGCAATCATGCAACCAATCCAGCATCCCCTCCTCCTGTCCCAATCCCGCATACCTCTGCCCATCCTCCCCGTTCCCATGCCTCAGCGCCAACTTACTCCTCTCCTCCGCACTCTTCGCATCATACGCCTCCTTCCACCCACTCCTTACAAACAACATATCCCCAACCTTAACATCCCCGCCCTGAGCCGCAGGCCGTATATCCACGCCCTGGTCCTGCCCGCACCGAAACAGCTCCTCCCACGAGATGGGGTGGTAGTCGTAGGGGTCGTACTTGATCCCCTTTTTGGCCGCGTAGCCGCGGTAGTCGAGCAGGAGGCCGCGGCCGGCGATGCCGTGGTCGGCCCAGTGGTGGATGGAGCATTTGTGGTTTGCGGCGGGGCCGAGGATGTCGGATTCTTTGGTCTGGGGGGTGGTTAGCGGTGGGGTGGGGGGGAGTGGTGGTGTGGGTGGGGGGCTTACGTTGTTGTAGAAAGTCGCCGTGGGCATGTGGGCGAACTGGGGAGGGTCAGCGGGAAAAGCTCCTTGGGGAAGGGGCGGTGTACGTGTCTGAAACCGTCCCATTGAGTGCCGCTTTGGGTGTTCATTTCGTAGAGGTCGTCGTATGCGAGACCTGGGACCATGGTTTTGATCGAGTGTTTGAAGATTTCGCGGCCGAAGGCTGGTTGGGCGGGGACATTGAGCGGAAGACTATTCACTGATCAGAGCGAACCATAGTCTATAGCCGGTTTGTTTACTTCACTGGCACTATTTCGCCAGTCTTGATCTCCTTGGCGGCGGCTGCGACTCTGGTGGGCGTAAGGAGATTGAGACGCCCAATCTACAAGAGTCAGCTTTGAACCATATGAACATGAGCAACCGTACGTAGTCATCCTCCCCCCAAACCCACGCAGCCTCTGATGGTGCTCCATCAATGGCCGGTAGCTCCTTTCTCGTTGGAAACTTCGTGCAATCTGGGTCCCAAGGAATCGTTGTTGCTGTCTTGTTCATCGTCAAGAAGTCCTTGATCTGAGTTAGTCGATTGTTCGAGGTGTTTCCCGCGTCAGCCATAATGGTCTGCTATGTTCTTATATGATGATGCGAGGATACGGCGTCCAACGGAACTTGGGGACCCAGCACCGGGCTCTTAATGTATCGCAAAGATTACAACGTCTGCATCGTTCCCGGCGACTTTGATGATCATCAAGGCCACCCCGCATCTACTAGATATCTCCGGGATGTCGACATCCACCGCCGAGGCTTTCTTGGAGAGACGGCCAATGAGGGTCGCGCAAGTCTGACTATCGTGCAATGACTCGTCTGGCCAATCACGGTGGTGGCGAGTGTTGGAACTACATTCGCATTCCGCGGAGCGCTATGATTTTGAGTAGTCCACTGAGTGTTCGAGGAATGTTGGGGGTTTAGCAAGGTGAAGAGGTTGTGGATCTGGGCTTGCGTCAGCAACGCTTGCTGCTTGCCTTATTAGCACCTCCAGGAGCCAGTTGCTAGGACCAAGATAGTGGTCGTCAAGAGAGCACAAAGGTTTAGCATTTGGATACAATGTCTATATTAGAGAACCTGCAAATTGATTTCAAAAGTTTCAAACTGATTTGTCAAAAAGAAAAAATTCAACCAAAATGAACGAACAAAAAACTGCCCACTCTCGGAATCGAACCGAGGATCTTCTCATGTCGCCATAATACGAGTGAGACGCTGTACCACTAAGCCAAGCGGGCGCGATTTATATTTAATTTTTATGCTTAGTAAATATATATAGTATTTACAAATGTTCTTCGCAGAGATGCAATCAAATACAGGGCGAAACATAGGCAAACGACGATCCATGAATCATAGCTCAGCTCTGGGTGCGGGGTAGCTGCCTATCGATAAATGTAGTATGCCCCACATCAACGCGCCCAACACAAGACATCACACTCGAAGGTGCCAGTCTCAAGAAATCGCTGTGATTTTTATTTACAAATGCGATTCCATTTACGATGCAATGTGTTTTTACTCCCATCCCTTCTCCCTCCCATCCCAAACCGCGCCCTCAACACGCACCCTCCCACCTACCGTCACATCCTCCCCTCATCCCCATCCTCATCCCCATACCCATCCAACCCATTCCTCTCCAAAAACTCATCCAACAACTCTGCTACCTTTGCGTTATCTATATCCGCAAACGGGATATGCGTGCTACCCTTAAGCCCCGCATCATCCCCCAACTTCAGCACCTTCGCGTTCCCACCATACTTGTTAATCAAGCTCGCCGCTAGCCTGCTCTGCTGCACATACTCGTAGCTATCCGCGCGATGATCCCCCCATACAAACTGAATCGCTGTGAGCTTGGCCAGCTTCTTGAACTGCGCGAGCGGGACCACAAAGGGCCCGAAGCCGCCGCGGCCCGCGGTGATGTTTGCATTGTCGGGGAACACGTAGCCGATGGACTCGTACGTCACGATGCCTTTGATGTTGGTCGTGTTGGACTTGGTCGCCGTCATCATGGCGCGCAGGCCGCCGGCTGAGTTGGTCAGGTACACGATATCTTTGCCGATTTTGCCGGAGTCGGCGGCGACGGCGGCGGCCGACGAGTGCAGCTGCACGTTCTCTTCGGTGTCGTATTCGACGTAGCGTGCGCTGGTGGCTTGGTGCCATGCTGCGTCGTTTGTGGTTGGGAATTGGACGTCGGGCCACCAGTTCTTGTACGAAGGCCCCAGGTTCCAGGCTACGAAGTTGCCGTGGTCGCTGGCGTAGTTGGGGTAGTATTGAGTGGGGACGCAGGCCCAGTTGGCACGGCCTACGCGTGGGCCGTCCCAGAGGTGGACGGGGTAGTTGCGGCGCAAGAACATGTCCTTATAGCCCTCGCCGCCGTCCCAGCGGTTCTGCCAGACCTGCGTGCTGGAGCTGTGCCACATGACAATGTTTGTTTTCCGCGGTTGCCAGGGAATAAAGTACTCGATGTATCCATGGTCGCAAGAGAGCTCCTGAGTCTGGCCTGGTGGACCGAAAGTGGAATTGGTCGTCACGGTCTTGCCGCCGATTTGGAAGCCGCCGGATCGTTCTAGCACAATTGGACTCCGAGGTCGCGCAATCTCTGCTGAATCTACGACGCTTAGTCCAGCAAAGAGCGCGAAGATAGCGCTCAACATGGTGTCGACGATTACACCATTGACCCGCAAAGTACGACAATTCTGAAGATGGCGCGAGGTAGTCAAGACTGCCGGGCCTAGGAATCCGTCTGCTTATATCCATACTCTCAGGACTATGTGGGTGCCCACGCAATCGGTCCCACGACAGAATTGCCGACTCCGCAATATGCATCTCTTTAGGGCTGAATTCTGGCGATCCTCCGTTCCTGCGTCGAGCATAATGCGTATGCAGCAGAACGGTGCTCGTGCGCATCGCACATTCCGTTATATTGCCACTCAATTCTTACTTGTCGTGCACATAACTTTTGCAAGAAACCGGAGTAAAAGGATGGGAAGAAGGGTTGGGATGTGCTCCATAAAATGCCGGGCGTAAGTGATCTTCAAGGCTACCATTTAGCCGCTGGATATGTTCCGACTGTCAGTGCTCCACCACTGCGAACTCAGGGCGTCGGCTTCGACTTCGGGTGCTTAGCGGCCTTTGGAAATGAAGTGCTGGGATGCAAAGGCCGATGAACTGACTTCTGAATTCGATGCCTTGGCGGCCCTTGGAATTGAAGTGCTGAGACACTTTCGAACTTGGAAAGGCCCCTCGACCAGCTTCTGTTTAGTATTTCTTCCATGGAAGTCATTCGAGCATAGAGAGCTCGAGCTCGGTCTATATCTTGCGTCGTAACCGAGGATGAGTAATGTTCGAGTTGAAAGTTTCGTATGAGGAAATGCAGTTTGCAGAGCCATATAATGGAGCCGTCGCCTTGCAGGTCTCGTAAGATAGTATGGCTTTTGTTACGGAAGCGTGTGTGCGTGCAGGCCAGTGCATTTCCGGAATGCCCCAACACTTGAGCGCTAATACAATCCAGGCGGCTTTTCGAAGAGTTTTCACCCTGCCTTCCAAACGAGTAATGGAGTTAAATAGACCCCACGAGTACATATAGCTTGGCGAGTCTTTGAAGGCTTCGATCGCAATTGCGAAATCGTCATGGCGATGTCGTATTGCTATAGCTTGGTACTGCACTCCGCGAACTCCTCGCTGACGGAGTTTGACCTTTGATCGTCGCATCTTGGAATAATCCAAGCAAAGATTGTTATATCACCGCATCTCGATGGTACTTCGATTCGTTAACAAGCCGATATGCGAAGATACTGATGTCAAGCTGCTCTCTTCGATGAGACATAGAAAAGCGAACAGATCAGATATACTCGAGCTAAGACGCTGAATGGCTGTAGTAAATTGTGCGTGTGAAAGAGCCATTGGCAGGAAAAGATGGTTGGGCATGCTAGCAATTAAGTACGAAATGACCAGTAGCTCAGCTCTTCACTTGTTAGAAGGCCGACAGATCAGCCTACCTTGCAATCTACCCCAGTAGAACGTGGCCTGTAGCTTATTTAGCCTATACTGATGTTGTTGTGATGTTTTCAAGCGATAAATGCTGTCCTTGTATGCGATCTCTGCCATTGCAAGTTTTTCAGCCCGTTACGGTAGTGGCTGTCCGATTTCACGATATCCGATTGGTTGCCTTTCCAATTTTCCCAAGCAATGACTCCGCTGGTCCATCGGTTGGATTCGTTGAACATTGAATTGATACGCAGCCATTTCGTGAACTGCGGAGCGTAATCCATCGCCATGGGGGGATACCGAACCGCCATCATAACCACGGGCAGGATGGATTGAAAAGAGAAAAAGGCCTAGTGCAGTAAACGAAACGCGGAAGAAGAGATTTCATTGCCGCCGTGATGAAGCTGTTGGATGTAAAGGAAATTGGTGGGAGACGGTTCGTGGACGCGACGCGAGCCATCTGATCTTGCTACCGGTACGTTATCGTAACGTTAGGTACCGGTACCGTGACTAATCATCGGGCGCACGGTCTCACTTCTGCACACTACCCCTTACCTCTACTCCGTGTAACTCAAATTCATGTCTACCCGTTCTTACTGCCCCTTTGGTACATCAGTACCCCAAGGATACGCCTCCGGCATTGCTTTCCAGCGCTTCAAGTCGTCATAGTTCCGACCCGTGCTTTTCCCTTGCGTCACCTTTTGCACGAATGGCAGCACATCAGCATACCCGCTCATATCGCAATGGCCTCCGTTGGGAATCGACATTCCGAGCTGGTCGCCCACACCAAGCCAGCTATACACCACCTTTGCTGCGGGGAACGTAATAGCGGCAGTGCCTTTTGAATCGGTGAACTGGTCCGAGGCGCCCTGCTCGAGGATCACCGCACGGGGCGTGATAGCGGCGACGATGGTGTGCGCATCGTAAGGGAGCTGTGTCGATTTGCCGACGAATTGGGAAATGCCGCTCGATGTCCACCACCCTGCTCCTGATTTCTGATCTGTTAGCTCGACGTAGCGTAGGTATACATATGTACGCAGTGCATACCGAGTTCTCCAAAGTCTCGCCCTGTCCACTGAGACTGTATCGGTACGGTCCAGCGCCTTGGACACCGGAGCACATGGGCATTGTCACGGCAATCCTCTTGTCGAAAAGACCGGCAGCTAAGGCGGCTTTTCCGAGGCGAGAACATCCCGTCACGCCCGCTTTCTTCGCATCGATCTCGGGTACTTTTTGCTCGATACCGTCTAACACGCGATGGAAACCCCACGCCCATGCCGTTAATACCCCTGATAGTCTCGTTTAGCTGGGCTGTAGACTTGTGGAGAGAAACGCACCAATGTCTTTGCCACTGTAAAGCGTCCAGAAACTTCCTGTCTTGCTGTTACTATCCGCTGCAACTTTGGAATAGTCGAACGTGACGACTGCGATGCCCGCATTCAGATAGCTCTTGTTGTCCATGCCACCAATCGAAATCACGACGGGGAACGGTCCACTTCCGGACGGGAGATTCAGCGTCGCTGCAATTGTAGCGGACTTGCCCTCTACTGCAATAGTCACCGTAAGGGCATTCCCGCTTCGCGTGGCTATCACAGTCTCTTGCGAATGATCGGGATAGTAGCCATACTGATATTCCTGGAGAAGCTTCAGGATCTCGGGCTGTCGGCACTGGTACCATTCATCTTTGCTCTTGACCCTTGTCTTGCCGTCGAGGTAAAGGAATGGGTCGGGCATTGTCTTTATGGCGGGGAGGTCGGCAGCTTTGGGCATCGGATTTGGGGTTGGTGGACAGGTGACGTTTCCGGCTTGACGAGGGAGAAGATCGAGTATGTGCTCGTACATGTTCCAAGGTGCTGGTGCACCATGGACTGCGGCGGTGAGCCCGGCGAGTACGAAGAGGTTACTGCGCATGATGGGAATGACTGTTTTCGTGTTGATACTAGTTTTTAGGGACAAAGAAGTCGTGAGAACCATATAACGAATTTCCAAGATGCTCGCCACCAAGGTTCTGGAGAATATACTCCGATCTCACATTCAAGCATGTCGTGGGGTCTCACACCCATCCATAGACGAAGCTTGCGTTCCCTTCCCAAATGCATAATTCGAGTTCGGTAGACGCGAGCCGAGTCTCAGACACCGTGCATCAAGTCCCCTTGGCCCGCAACGATTTGCGGGGAAGGACCTGAAGCATGGATGAGGAACCGTTCGTAAGGCGAGAAAGTGGTCGTGACCCGTACATAGGTCAGGATATGAT